AAAAAACCTACAAAACAAAGTTGTATTTACATGACTGACTTACTTGAGATGAAGGATCAAAATTATTGATGTAATCTGAAGCAGACTGTTTAAGAAACTGCATGAAAAATTCAACACTTTAATCAGCTATACATATTAGAAAGCATTTATCTAACCCAACAGCAAAAGGACAGGGACCAACTCTTACATGATAAACTCCTGCAAAAATCAACAACTATCCATCCAAATTCCATATACACAAAACCACACATTTACAAATTTGTGCATTTTTGAAAACCAAAATTTTTACATTTTTGGCACACCCATGTCCTGCAATCTGTCAAAATGAAGAAAAATTGCTAGGACAGAGAAGTCCAAAGTAACATGCCTTTTTTCTCAATTTCATTCTTCCATTTTATGCAATCAACAGTTGAAGAAATATACGTTTCTGCAAGCAGATTCCTAAAATAGAAAACATCCAAATCCCCCATGCCCTATTGTTTTGTTGATCAACATTTCTTACGCATGAACATGAGTCCAAGACAATGCAACTAATTTAATAATCCCCCAACTTCTTGCAAATGGGGAGAGAGAGAGAGAATGAATCAAACCTCTTTATTGGAGTTGCTTAGCAAATGGAGAACAAATGCCCTCTCATATTTTTCAGCTCCATCATCACATGCAGCCTGTGAAATCCAGAAGAAATAAAAGACACACAAAAGAAAGGTATAAAAATAATAAAATAAGATTCTATTTAAAAGGAAAAAAAAAAACATGATATGGGCAACAATAATACAAGTGATGCAAGTTCGGTTTCTCTAAAAAAAAAATTGTCTATTGTTCCACAATCACAAAGAAGTAAAACCTCTTTGACTAACTACGATACGCTAAATATGATAGAATAGTAGCATTCAAAGGCACAAGAAATTTCAAGTCTTCAAACAAAGCAAAATAAGAAGGAAAAATTTGCAATGACAGGCTTGCCCCTAATAGCCTAGCATGTTTGCCTGAACATACCCAGAGAAACATATGGCTTTTGTTACCCTAAATAAGCAACAAATAAAGATAGGCACAATAGAGCTCTCTCAATACATGGTTATGCCTGAATATTATAATATATAAAGAGATAAAAATTTGCCAAACTTGCTAAAACAAAGCATAACAAGGATAATAAACTTGGCTTACATTTACAAGAGAAGGTATAAATGGGTTTGCGGCAGACTTTTGAGAGGAATAGCTTCGATGAAGAATAGCACATGCAACCAATCGTTCAGTTGAACTGAGCATTATTTTATCCTGGAATTATACAAGATCCAGTTAGTAAATCAACCCAAACATGTTGGCATGACATCCTCACTTGGTGAAGAACTACTAAAAAACTTGATTAAAAGTTACAAATTTAATCAGGCGGACAGCATTGAATTGTGGAAGATCTAAATGCTAAACAGGGAGCTATTACATCACACAGGAAGTTACACATGGATAATATTACCCCAATCTGTATCCTTAAAGAAAGAGACACTTGTATTTTCATTATTTTCAATTGAGAAGTAGCTCACAAGAAAAAAATTAAAAGTTCAATAAAACAGGAGGGCACTATGTGCCTTCGCCTTATCAAAAAGGTGCCAGTAGGTGCCAAAGGCCTGCACCTTGCCTGGAGGGTTACAAGGTGTTTTTAATGGCTAGAACTTGCCTTAGCTAAACCTGTAATACCTGACAAGATTTAAGCTTATAGAACATGTTCTACTGGTAAAATAAAACTCAAAAACTTATAGCACATAACTGAAGCACTTCTCAATGTTCTTGTTAACCAACAATCAAATCCAAATCACCATTTCCTAAACCCAAAAATTCTATAACAGTCAAATGACTATAGTGATACCATATGTAATACATTCTAACAGCAAACCGACATAAAGTCCATTGTTAAGCTTGAACCTTAAACAATAGAAGTACAAGAGCTGAATGCAAAGTAAAGAATTATCACTCACAATTTTGCTGCAAACCCAATTAAGTATCTTCAAAAGTGAACAGATCTGGAGAAAAACAACCTAACTAAAATAGAGTCCCTTGCATTTTAGGTTATTTTCCCTCACATTCATGAATAAATTCCACTTTAAATTCATTCTCTAATCTCTTCCCCTATTATACCTAATATTAAACCAAACAAACCAAATAAAAACCTAGTAGTTAGTATTTCTTTTATTATTTAGGATTTTTTTAAAATGAGAGAAGCGCAAGATGAGGAAGGTGGGTGGAACTTGGAAAGAGGAAAAAAAATTAGTTTTACTCAAATTTGATATAAGTGATTGCCTTTTTTGTCCATATTAACAAAAATAATCTTCCCAAGTAGGAAGACTTGAGGAAAAAAATAAGCACTATATAAATTAAGTATTGTAGATTTACAGTATAGTCCACTTATTTTTTAAAAAGAAAAACCACTTTTCAATGCTACCAAGCTATGGATTAAAACAATTTTATTCTGTCACCACTTATCCATATTTCCTACCAAGCACGGTACAGGAAAAGGAAATATCCTTCCTAAATCCCTGTCTTTCTCTTTGCAATCACTCCTACAAAGCAAAGCCTTTTAGGCTACTTGACAAATTAAAAGAATGCTGATGCCTATATATCTCAGGAAGGAAAAGAAAAATGAGTGAATGATAACCATAATTTAACCTGTTAGACCAGCATGACACATTGACATCAGAAACAAACTTTCTTCTGCCAAATAAACAAAACAAACTCAACCACATAGAACCATAGATCTAAAGTAATTATGAAGATTAGCAGACGCAGTGAGCATTTCTATCCGATATCAATCCTATTCCACTGTCATTGACCCAAATTTCAAGTTCAGATTCTCTAGTACCATATTCTAACACAATGTTACCGAATTCCCCCAAAAGCCACAGCAGCCAGAACAACTAAGCAAACAAACTTCTCGGTAATTCGCTAGCATTTTCATTTTAAATGGCAAGTAATAAGTTCACAGCCCCTGAACAGCTAGATAATAACTCGGAAATAAACCCTAAAAGTAGTAAGCAGATGAGATATGAGTGAAATTTCAAATCCGCAAAACCCTAAAACCCTAGAGAGAAGCTAAGAGACATGGAAATTAGAGAGAGAAAGAGGAGAAGCGAAATGACCTGCAATAAAAGGGAGAGAGAATAGCAGACATTGAATTGGCGGAGCTTGGAATTGTTGAAGAATTCAGTGACTGTCTCTTCGATTGACTTTTGTTCGGACGACGATTTCAACATGTTCACTATCTGACACTGTTCTTCGAAATTCAGCATCTTCTTCCCCATTCTCTCTTCTCTCGGAATCTCTTTCTTCTAGTATTTCACACAAGAGTAAAGTTTTTCTTGAGTTGTTTGCTCAGCTGGGAATCCACAGAAAAAATGAAAAAGCCAAAGAGCAAATATTATAATACGACTGCTAATCTGCCACTCTATTTATAATAAACTCTTAAAAAAAATGGTTCAAAATAATTTAAAAGTCTTTGTATTAGGATATTTTATTTAATTGAATTCTTTTACTCAAAATTATAAAAATTAAATTTTTTAATTTTAAAAATTATTTCAATTTAATCCTTTTCTCAAACCATATCTAATTTACAGTTAAGGGAAGTTAAAGGGAAGAGATGATGTTAGTAATAACCTGACACATTTTAATGACGTAGCATCAATATGATGACTTGACATACCACGTAACATCAAATGATGGCATGGTATTATGTTGATGTGTCGATGTCACGTAATAAATAAAAAAAAATTAAAAAAATTTATGCCATAGTATAAAAATTAAATTGAACAAAAATATATAATTTAAAAATTAAATTGAACAAAATTTAGATGTCAAGGGATTAAATTAAAAAAATATATTTGAAAAATATAAATATTTAAGTAGATAATAGATATAATTATTAATAAGTCAAATATTTAACTGTAAAAGATTTATATTAATTTTAGAATATGTATATTAATTTACTTTTTTTGTAAAAATTAAATTTAAATTCTCATTCTATAAAAAAAATTTATACCTAAAGTCAAATTTAAATGAATAACTAACATTACATTACAATAAAATAATATAAAAAGATAAAAATACTAAATAAATTCTTTTTTTCTTCTATTTATAATAGTAAAACTTTAAAATTTATTTGACATAGTTTTAATTTGAGCTAATATCAAATTAGCAAAATAGGTTGATTTAGTTACAACTTTCACAATTTACAAATACCCATTCTTTTAGAATTATTCAACCTTTACTCAACTTACCTTTTATTTAAATTTACTCAAAGTTTTTTTTTAAAATGATTTTATTTAAGTTTAAATACCACTATTAAATTCTGTTAAATTTAAATTTAAATTATTAATTTGAATCTATAAATAATTTGTAAGTACAAAATAAAATGGTACAAATATTTACAATTATATTTCACTCTATCAATGATAAATGCAATCTTTAATCTAAGAAATTTCAACTTAAAAAATATAACTTGAAATATTAAACAAAATAAAGGTACAAGAAATGAACAAAAAATTGAAAGGGTAGGGTAGCTCAAGTTCTATGGGTGTAATAAGAGGTCTATCATGCCCAAATTAAACAAGTCAGAATAAAAAATTATTTTTATAATCGTCGCTAACTCTATATCTCTCTTCTTTATATTTTAAAAGAAAAAAACTAAATCAACCTATTTTGCTAATTTTAGTTCAATTCAAGTAGAAAACTAAGTCAAATAAATTTCAAATTTGTATACTATTATAAATAGAAGAAAAAAGAATTTATTTAGTTTTTGTATATTATTTTCTTTCAACATAATGTAAGTTATTTATCTAAATTTAGCTTGAGGTATGAAATTTTTTTGAATTTTTTATAAAAAGAGAATTCAAACTTAATTTTTGTAAAGAAAATAGATTAAAATATATATATTCTAGAATTAAATAATCAAGTAAGAAAATATTTATATATTTTTTAACATCATAAATTTTTTACACTTAAATATTTAACTTATAAATAAGTATATCAATCATCTACTTAAATATTTGTATTTTTAATATATTTTTTAATTTAATCCTTCAACATCTCAATTTTGTTCAATTTAGTCCCTGTATTATATATATTTTTTTAATTTAATCCCTATAACATGGCACAAATTTTTTTAAATATTTTTTTGATCTGTCACGTGACACTAACATATTAGCATGCAAGTGCTACTCAACATTGTCATGTCATCCTATTAGTGCTACGACATCATGTCTGTGCCATATGACATGTTATCATGTTGGTTCCACATTAGCATTGAGGTCTTCCCTTTTAAAAACAAAATTAGATGTCGATGCCATTAAGAGGAAGGATTAAATTCAAGCAATTCTTAAAATCGAATAACTAAATTGTTATGATATTGCATTGAAAAACTAAATTAGACAAAATGTCATAGTACAAGGACTTCCCAAGTAATTTTATTAATAAAAATTCAAGACCGCACCAGCATGTGGGGGTCGACTTTCGAGCTTTATCAGGCCCAATATTACAGAGTCTTTATTATGGGCTTAACATTTTATACTGTTTTCCATTGCCGACACTCACCCGCTTATTCTTGTTGTTAGCATACTTGTAGATTATTAAGGTATATAATAAAGAAGATTGTTAGTTTATTCAAAAGATTTAGATGAAGTATTTTGTTTTTATTGCAAATTGTTAAATTTGGCTTCTAATACAAGTAAACTAGCAAATGTTGGCACCAGAGATTAGAGAAACCTTAGTATTAAACTTAAAAGTCATGAAATGAGTAATGAGCATATTACTAATATGAGTTATTGAATTGATTTAGAAATAAGATTATTGAAAAATAAAACAATTGATAAAAGTGTTCAAGAACAAATAAAAAGAGATGAAGAACATTGGAAAAAAATATTAACAAGAATTCTTAATATACTAAAAACTATTGGTAAATACAATTTGGCTTCCCATGGAAAAAATGAAAAGATCTATTAAGAAAGTAATGGAAATTTTTTAAGTCTAATTGAAATGGTTACAAATTTTGATACAATGATGCAAGAACATATTTGACACATTAAAAACAATAAAGTTCATACTCATTACCTTGGACATAATGTACAAAATGAATTGATATTTTTGTTGGCAAGTGAAAGTAGAAACAAAATTATTTTCTTCTTCAACCAAACGACGAAAAATTTTATAAGATAATATGTTGATTCCATATATTTTTTATGATAACAAAACATTCCTTATTCATTAATGTCTAATCTTGTTATTTAAGTATGCAAGATTTAATTTAATAGCCCTAACAAAGTTGATAATTAAGGATAAGTCAAGAAGTTTGTTGAATTTAAAGAAGAGTTAATCAATCAAAAAGGGAAAGAGCAAGTAATGAACAAAAACAGAACCTTAGTAACTAATTAATTAGGGATCTTAATCGGTTAAGGCATCGCTGTGTGATAAGCTAAAGCAAAACAGATATATGTTAATTGGTTAAGAAGTCTGGTTAATTGGTTAAAGTACAAGGTCCTAATATATTCAAGCGCTAAAAATAAATTTGAAAATATAGTTGATCGTTGAAGAGTCAAAGTGGAAAAGTTCAAAATTCAAAAAATTTATAATTGATTAAAGCTGGTTTTAATCGGTTATGGTTGAAAAAAGTAAAACTTCAATCAGTTAAGGGAATAGCTAATCAATTAGAAGAAGACTGTTGTGTAGAGAATAACGAAAACTGAAAGTTTGTAATCGGTTAGAGTATCTTATAATCAGTTAGAATAGAGAACTCAATAGCAATATAGTGGAAGATAAAAAAGCTATAATCGGTTAGAGCTTCCTGTAATCAATTAGTCGAAGTTTGTTCCCCTTCTTGAATTTAAACACTAAAGGACAAAATAGCTGCTAAAAGTGCATCAGAGTTGTTTCGAAAAGTTAGAAACTATCTCCAACAGAAAAATTTGACTATTCAAGTATAAAAGGAAGCCACAACGGTCAAACAAAATAGATTTAAAGAAAAAAGAGCTACTTTAAGCAAAAAGCTAAATATTCTTCATCAAAAGCACTTGTTCTTCATTCTAAATCTAGAAAAAGTGTTTGAATTTAATTGTAATCTATCCAGACGTGTAACTGTACTTAGCTGTACTTATTTTGCTTCTTTTTCTTGAGAAATTAAAGTATGAGAAACACTTTAAAGCTTGTTATAAGGGATTAGAGTTGAAAGCTCATCTTGTAAAAGCTTAGTGGAAGATGTTAATGCCACTGGTTTAGTAAAGTTGGATTGAAATCTTTAATTAGGAGATCAAGATAGTGGATCTAGGTTAAGGGGACCGAACTATTATAAATAATCTTGCATTATCCACTTCTCTTTACTCTTTCCTAGTTGGTGTCTTTCAGCCACTATAACCTTTACATTCATTTTCCTATAATTGATTAAAAGCTCTATAATTCAAAGATTACTGAACTTAAAATTTTTAATACTATTCACCCCCCTCTAGCACTCCATTGGGACTAATACAATATACTTATTCTAACTCTTAAATCATTATCACAAACACGTTAGGACAGTCGTATTGAAAGTGTTAAAGCAATAAGATTCCAATCTTTGCAAATAAGAGATGCTTTGTTGAAATTAGCATAAGTTAGCAAAGATCTTAAAACTAAAAGTGAAATTAATTGCTTAGCAAGATATGAGCTTGAAAATTTTGAGTTTTTGTTGGCCATGATTATTTGGTATGATATATTGTTTTTTGTTAACTCTGTTAGCAAAAATTTGCAATCAAAATATATGGGAATTGATGTTGTCATAGAACAATTAAAAGGTCTTCTTTATATTTTTGAAAAATATAAAGAAGAAAGATTTGCACCTATTATGATATCTTCTAAAGAAATTGCATCTAAAATGAATATAAAACTTAAATTTCATGATATACCTATCATTCGTAGAAAAAAAAACAATTTGATGAGAATGTTGATAATGAAATAACTTAATCTCTTGAAGAATTATTTAAAATTGATTACTTCTTATATATATTAGATCAAGCAATTTTTTCACTCAAAAATAGATTTGAACAATTTAACATATATGAAAATCTTTTTGGTTTCTATTTAGCGATAAAAAATTGAAGTTATTAGATGATAATAGTTTGAAAAAATATTACCTTAATCTCGAATATTCCTTAAAATATAACAACTAATATGATATTAATGGTTTAGATTTATTTTTAGAGTTAAAAATTTTAAAAGAAAATATGCAAATGGAAGAAAACAATTCAATTGACATACTTAATCATATAAAAAGACTCAATTCTTTTCCAAATGCATATATTACTTTTAGAATAATGTTAACAATTTCAATAAGTGTCGTTTCAGGAGAAAGAAGTTTTTCAAAACTAAAATTAATAAAATCTTATTTAAGATCAATAATGTCTCAATAAAGATTAAATAGATTGACTATATTATCAATTGAATAAAAAATATTAGAAGAACTTGATTACAAAAGTTCAATTAAATATTTTGCATCAGAAAAAGCTAAAAAAATAAAATTTTAATAATTTTTTTAATTTTAATAAAAAATATCTAATTTGAATATTTTACTTTAAGCTTTTAAATTTATTGAGTTGCCCCTGCCAGCACTCTGATGTGAACTTATTTTACATGGTTCTTGAACACGCCATTTCTTTTATTAGCAGCCGGTGGTATATGTGTCACGGACCACAGCTCAACGCATTAGAGGTGTCCCAAGGATGTTTCGAAGTGCCGGTATGCGGGGGAGTATTGCTGGGAAAGGACCCCCACTGAATAGCGTAAGGCAAGTGCAGTGCAGCAGGGGCGGTACAGCACAGGCTCCTGGGCGAGCTGCCGACAGAGTCAGACAGAACTGCGCGCAGGTGTGACAGCCCGCACAGCAGGGGTACGCGGCACGCCTACCTCACGCATGGGTACGCAGCACGCAAGCTCGGGGCCGCCTGCCCAACAGCGGGTGCGTGGCACGCAGGGGCGCACGGTACGCAGGCCAGGGCCTGCCGACCCAGCCGAGATGCGCCGCCAAGCAGGGGCGCGCAGCATAGGCGAGCACACGCAGCTCGGGGCCTATCGGCCAACAGGGTGCGCGGCACGCAGGATGGCTCGGCAGGCGGCGCAGCACGGACCCGCACACATGCCTAGACAGACTGCCTACGTGGGGCCACTGCTCCCCAGCCCGCCGATGCCTAGGCACACAGCCTGTGCTCGGCCCAGACCCACCAGGGGGCGCAGGATGGTGTCGGCCCACGAGACCCACTCTTTTGATGTATTGAGCTGCTGGAAATTTTAACTTTCCTTCCTAAATATTTTGGAGAGAAATATTTGGAGAAAATTGACTATAAATAACCCCTTGTACTTTGTGTAAATCATTCAATTCATTCAATAAAAGTTCAGCTTTTCTATTTTCAGCATTCTCCTCTTTTTTCCTCCTTTTCCTTTTATGCAAGTTTGCTTGCCGGCTTAAAGTCCTTGGGTGCAAGTGCAGGTGTCGGAAGGCAGTGTACTGCCTGTGGGAGTGCTGGGTGCTTGCTGGGCGAATGCTAAAGCATTAAGGCTGACTTGGGTTCTAGTATCGGGATAAAGGTTGAATCTAAGGCCGCACGGAGGGTGGTTTGAAGAATTACCGCGTGACATATGGATATGATAGCTTCGAACTCATTTTGAAAAAACTTTCTTTGTAATTTACTCCTTTTTAAATAAATTTAAAAATTAAAAATTTACATTTTTAATTCAAAAGACATATTTAATTAATTGATAAAAGACTTATGATTATATATTTAAAATTTATCTATTTTTTATTGATGTGAAATGTATAACATAAACATAAAAAAATTAAAACAAAATAAATAATTATATTAAAAGTTTCAAATATAATTTTTTATTATTTTTTATAAATTATAAAAAATATATATTTGAAATTAAAATTCAAATATAATAAGAAGAGATATTTTTATTAAATATTTTTTTATTCTAAAATTATTTTTTTCAATCAAATATTAAAATTAATTATAATAGTAAATTTATTTTATTTCATAAACTAATTTACATAATGACTTTTTAATTTTATTTTTATAATAAATTAAAGTATATGATAACTATTTAATTTTATTCTTGTAAATGAGTTAATAAAGTAAGATATAGAGATTGCTCTGTGCAGGTACGTGGTCCCACCCTCACCGGCCCAGGTAGCGTTTATTAATTACACTAGTTATAGGACTATAAAGTATTTTTTTTCAACCAACTCCGGACGTCCGTCAAAACATGACTAATCAACGCATCAAACCATCGCTCCCTTGGAAAACTAGGATCTCCATCGCCCTAATCTCCACCCTCAATGATGCCGCCTGCCGCCCCAATGGCACCATCAACCGCCGCCTCCTCCGCTTCCTCGACCTCCAAGCCCCCCCTAACCCCAAACCTACTAACTCTGTCTCCTCCTCTGACACCACCCTCGATGCTACCCGCAATCTCTGGTTTCGCCTCTTCTCTCCCTCCCTCCCCTCCGATCTCCTCCTTCCCGTTGTCATTTTCTTTCATGGAGGCGGCTTCATCTGCCTCAGTCCCGCCTCCCACGCATACGACGCCGTTTGTCGTAGGTTCGCCCGCAAGCTTCCTGCTTTCGTTATCTCCGTCAATTACCGACTCGCTCCTGAACACATCTACCCTTCTCAATACGACGACGGATTTGACGTTCTAAAGTTCCTAGATGAGAACCGCGCCACTATCTTACCTGAAAACGCTGACCTGTCACGGTGTTTCTTAGCCGGAGACAGTGCAGGTGCCAACCTGGCTCACCACGTGGCTGTCCGGGCTTGCCAGACTGGGTTTCAGACATTGAAGGTGATGGGGCTAGTTTCCATACAGCCATTTTTTGGAGGAGAGGAGAGAACGGAGGCGGAGGAGCAGCTTGTGGGGTCGTTGCTGGTGTCTGTGCCAAGAACAGATTGGTGCTGGAAGGCGTTCTTGCCCGAGGGGTCGGACCGAGATCATGGAGCGGTGAATGTGAGCGGACCCAATGCAGCGGATATGTCGGGCCTGGATTTTCCGGAAGCGATGGTGGTAGTGGGTGGCTTTGACCCATTGAAGGATTGGCAGAAGAGGTACTATGAGTGGTTGAGAAAATCCGGTACAAAAGCGACGTTATCGGAGTATCCCCACATGATCCACGCATTTTACCTATTTCCAGAATTGCCCGAGGCTTCCCAGCTAATTTTGCAGGTCAAAGATTTCATGACCAAGTGTTGGTCCGAACTCCAACACAATTGAAGTGTACAGACATCCAGTCTTATGTTTTGTCGGGTTTTGGGTATGAACAATAGTAAAAAATAAGTATCAGGGTATGTGAAGAGTATGAAGGTGGGATGGCATGCACTACACTACTGCGAATACTTTTAACCCAAATCTCCTTGCACTTGAATATTGGGTCTAAAAATAAAATGTATGTACTTGTCAATAATAATTTACATGTGTTTTCAGGACTCCAACTCAACAATTTTTGGTTCAATTTTTTCCCCCAAAATCCATTGGAAAACCTAAATTAACTTAATATGGAGCAAACCATCTGCCAATTGAATCAAACATGTAAGATTTTACAAGAAATTAGCTGATTATCAGTGCAGTACTGTAAGGTTAAATTTCATTGAATAGATTTCATAGATTATTGTTGTAAATTTATATTTTAAAACAGCTTTATTTTTTTCATCTATTAATACAGGTTCATTTTTGTTATTTTGAAAATATAAATTGAGTAATTTTTATATTCGATATTTTTCAACAAATTATTTAGTAAAAAATAAGAATTAATGAAGAAAAAACCAAAAAAAATATGGTGTAAAAGTTTCATTTTTTTAATGATTTTATTGTTTTTTCTTCCGCCTTTCTCCTTTTGTTTCTTCAAAAAAAAATTAAAACATTTTAGTCACATTAAAAATCCAAACATTTAGATCAAATATGTTTGTTTCTTTTGTGAAAGTATTCATTTGAAAATATTTAGGAAAAACGGTAAAAAGTACAGAATGGAGGAAACAAAGGAAAATAATAAAGAATGCCAATTTGTTCATCAAATTTTACTGTTTGATTTTTTTAAAAAAAGTTTTTTAAAATTATGTTTTAAAAGAAATTATCTTAAAGGAAGGAAACATAAAGAAGTGAAAATGAAACATGAGAAAAAAATAAGAATAATAGTAGAAATTCATATTTTTATTTTACTTTTATTCTCCTTTTAGTAAATATATTAATCTTCCTTCTTCCTTTTGTTTTGATTCAAAAGAGCTCAAAATATTTTTGATCAAATTTTTTAAAAACAAATTCTTGACTAAATTTATATACTTAAAAAATGTTCTTTTCTCAAAATGATTCTAAGCTATATTAGTTTTATTTGAAGATATTTCCAAAAAATAAAAATAATAAAGAATAGAGGAGAGTAAGAAAAGTCGAAAAACCAAAACGATTTTAATTGTTTTGTTGTCTTTTTCTTAGTTTATTTTTTTCCTTATTTTATTTTATTTTGTTGCCTTTTTTCAATTTTTTTTCTCTTCTTTCTATTTTTTCCTTATCTTTTCTTTAAATAAAAAAACTAAAGTATACTTTATAGTATCCTTAAAAATCCTAAACCTTAAAATCAATATAATATTTATACGTAATCCTGACAATTTGGTATAAGACATAATAAAATGACACGAATTTAAATAGATTTAGATTTAAAGTAATCATGTTTCAAATCTTAACCTCATCATACCAGCTTAACTTATTTAAAATGTGATTCATTGATTTAATTGTGTTCAAACTTTATTTAAGCCAAAAGCAGGTTTGGGCTTTATGATTACAAATAAAATATCAAACTTTATTATTTGAATTTTTTGAAAAGAACTTATCTTAAAGGAAGGAAACATGAAAGAACTGAAAATGAAACATGAGAAACAAATAAGAATAATAGCAGAAATTCAGATTTTCAAAAATTAAATTCACTGACTAAATATATAGCTTAATAATGTTTTTTTCCCTCAAAATCATTCTAAATTATATTATTTTTATTTGAATATATTTTAAAGGAAAAAATTAAAAAAATAAAGAATAAAGGAGAATAAGAAAACTAAGAAGAGTGGAAAAACCAAAACTTTGTTTTATTGTTTTGTTGCTCTTTTTTTTTCAATTCTTGTTCTCTTACCTTTCTCTCTCTTTTTTTTTCTTATTTTGTTATTTATTTTTCTCTTGTTTCTTTTTTTTCCTTATTTTTCTTTTGAGATAAAAAAGCTTAAGTATCCTTTGTAGTATCCTTACAAATTCTAAAATATTGTATATTATATACAAATTTGATAATTTTGTATAAAACAAGACCAATATAAATTTTTAAATTTTTAAATAATCATGTATTAATTGTATCGATATAATTAAAATATAAATAAATATTTTATTTTACGATAAGATTAATTAATTGTATTATATTTATATTTATTTATATAATTGTTAATATTTTATGTTTATATGATATAATTAAGATATAAAATAAAAAATTTTCAGATCCAATTGTAGGCAAATGCGTGAGTATGAGTACATTGGGGGAAGGGAAAGAACTACTGGGTGAACGATGGATGTCGTTTTCGCGTAAATGAACTGGAAGAAGTGGTTGAGAATTGGATGCGTGTGGTGCACAGAGCCACACACAGAGAGACGAAATAATTGAATTTGCTTTGGGTACAGCTGTAGCATTCGGGCAGAGTTATAAATGCATCTTCCTTCCATTTATCATTACTTGTTTGGCTTCGCAAGGCTGGTTGTGTTAGGCAGCTGCTAATGGGACAGCTTTAATACGCATTTTCAAAATGTCAGCTCAATAATAAATAAAATTAAATACTTTTTAAGATCTAATAATAAATATATTAATTTTTCTTAAATTCAAAAAAGAAAGATTCAAATTTATTCTTTAAACGAAAAAATTACTTATCAATCAATACATTAGATACTCTAATATAAATATATTAAAATTTTACCATTTAACAAATGAAAAATCAAAATCTTTTATTTTCTTCTAACTTTCTCTCCCTTTTCTTCCTTGTCCTTTTTCTGTTTTATCTCTTCCGGGTTTCTCTTCAACCATTGTATCAGGTTTTTCTTTTTTTTTATTGTTTTTTTATATCTCTCCCATAAAACAAAATCTTGAAAATAAAAGCAAAAATACCAAAAAGAAAAGGCACCATGGGTTCTTAGCAAGAAGGTTTGGACAAAATAAGGTATTATAATTAATGATTAATTTAATTAAATTATCGTTTATTATTTTATATAATATAATATTAACATGACATATTAATATATAATAATAAATAATGATATGACATATTAATATAATATGATGTCATTATCATGTAATATTTTTTATCTTTCACATCAATGTCATGTTAATATCATGTGATATGTTAATTTCATGTGATATTTTAATTAATGATAATTAATTAAATATTAATAACTTATTTAAATTAAAATAAAAATATATCAACTTATTGAATATAATAAAAAAATAAAAAAATATTTAAAATTTTTTAAATAGTTCAAAAACTTTTTTGAGTATTTTGTCTATATCAAATTCATGAATACTATGACAAATTCATATATTCACATTACAAACATTATAATGTACTCATTATTTGTATTAGATATATATAAACTTTTTAAATAAGTAACTTTGTAACTTGAATATCAAGATATTTAAAAAGGTATCTTTTATGGGTTGAAAACTCAATTGGATCCCAAAATCCAAATTTGAAATTTTCCTTGGGTTTTGTGTCTCAGAAATAAGCATAAGTAGACCAATATGAGAACCAATTGGGTCCTAATAAATTAAAGGATGTGATATAAATAAAAAAAATTAGCTAGGTTTAAATTAAAATCAATTAAGTCTACAAAGAAGAAATAAAATTAAAATTGTAATAAGTATACCTGAACAAATTAGGAAATCTAAAACAAAAAAGCTATCAATATAATATTTATATTTATATAAATATTATTATATTATTTATTTTTAATTTGATTCTGATTTGTATTGGTTTAAAATCTTACCAAACCAAATTGAAACCAAAATATTAATTTAGTTTGGTTTCAAAATGATAAAATCGAGAAATTTTCACTCTTCAAACCCAATTAATCCAATTAATTTGGTTTAGTTTTTCAAATTTTAATAAATAATGTCAATTTTATTTTTTAATATATATGTGTATCACGTATTAAATTTTGAAAATCGCGCTTCTGGACTGTTGGGTTGCTTTCCGGCATTAATTGCAAATGAATGCATTATGTGCTTATTGTCTTGTGGTAGAGTACAAGTACTAGCTGGCATTTGTCAATAATCAATTACTCTATAATTATTCGATAATCTACAATTATTGCATTGCGACTAAAGTGAAAAGCTTAGTTTAAAAAGAAGTAAAAAAATGTTTGGATTAATTCAATTCGTTCGTTTACTTACATCATTCAGTAGTAAGAAAGAATAGATGGAAATGAAGAGCAATTATAAAATAATAAATTCAAAAGAAAACAAATTAAACTGGGGATAAGGTTTTGTGGGGGAATGATATGATGGGAGTTTGTTGTGAGTATTTATGCGTGTTATGAGTCAAATGTTTTTGAAGACCAGCGGCAGCCAAGGTTATCCTAACAGGATGGTTACAGGCAGCCCATACTTATGTATGAGTCAACCGCGTTTGAAGGGAGCAGCAGAGGCATGCATGGTGGCCAGGATTACAGTAACCGAGTAAATTGGTTGGCTGTTGAAGGTTGAGGTGTTCCAAGTTGGGCATATAACAAAATTATCCAAGAACACCTAATTTCAATGCATCAGTTGCATATATAGGATGGATATTCATGATTTCGTATGTTCTCTTTCAATAAATATTCTTTTGATTAAGTGTAACAATTTGAATCCAACCATCATTAATCTAACAATGTTTTGAGCCAAAATTACGTTGCTCTTAAAAAACATAAATACAAATTGTTAGTAGTGATTGAGTTAAATCTTTATATAAATTTTAACAATTATATTCAAAATTTAAAATAAAATAAGGTATCACAATTCAACTACTCAAATTCTCAATGTCCTCATCAAAATCACATTACAATCACAATCAAGTCCCATCAAGATTTTACTTTAATACCAAATGCACATGATCTAGTAATAATAGACTTAAATCCTTATATAGGTTTTTACAATTACAATTAAATTTGACGTGAGAAGATGTATCACGTTAAGATATCCATTTTGTTTATGGTATAATTACATTAGAGAAAATTGTAAGAAATAATCTTCCTCATAAATCCAATTCAAAAATATCCTTCATTATAATTTTAATTGTTTTTACTCAAATTTTGACATATTTTGATAACAATGCCTTTTCAACAATTTCAAACAAATTAAATGATCTCGGTTTTCTCTATTTCGTCATCCAAACTAAAATTCTAAAATTAAATCCTTATTTCTCTCTTTTGCCCAATTTTTTTTATCTC